TGAGCTTTGTCTCCCTCAGATTTTTTGCATGATGTCTCTGGCTGTAGTTTTTATTCATTGTATAGCACTTGACTGTGATTTGAATTATGCCTTCTCAGTGAGGCTATCTGGGCATAACTGAGAATGTAGTTTACATTGCATATTCTTACACACTGGCTGAAGATTGGGAAATAATAGTTGTGCAGATATCACATTTCTGTGTGCAACTGTATACACTTGCCATCTAGAAGGCCAGTATTTTCTTGCTTTTAGTCTGTGTTTCTCCAATTTTTTGAATTTGTATTCTGCATACATATAAACATTACTCTTTCTACCTGGGAACCTTTATATTTAAAAGTATTTTTTCAGGCTTCTTTTTTCTTCTTAACTAATGCACTTCATAGAAGTTTTTGTTGTTCCTAATCTCCATCTACCATTCTTCCAGATGAAACATGCTTCTTTAAGTGAAAATCCCCTAACTTCACAGGCAGGAATAGCTGGGGAATGCAGAAGTTGTCTGAATTGAACTTCTAGGCATTTAGGCATGTAGGACTACTCTGCTGCTGGCTACATTTTCCTTTTCAAGCTCATGGTTTTGTTGCATAAATCCTACTGTTCTACTTCGTTGGCTTCTTACAGTATTTATTTTTCAGTCTGATTTTAGCAAATTGAGATGTATATCAGTGTTGCCTTTGTTGTGTCTGTAATACACTGGACAGCTTCTTGCTTGGAGATTAGAAACCTCCTGAGAGCTGAGTTTTCTTTCTGCGCAGAAGTTCTACTGCTGCTGTGCAGACAGCAGCAGCATTAGTCCTCCACCAGTCTGGTGTGAGGCAGGGTTACAATTTTGTGGACACTATTCACCAGTTACAATTTTGTGGACGTCGTTCACCTGTTTGAGCCGTATTTGATTTATAGGTTATTCAATCTCTATGCAAAGATTATTGATCATGCTTCAGTTATGCAGTTGTCCCATTGGCAGATGATACCAGTGGAGAAGATTTTAGACTTTCAAGTGAATGTCTTCGTTCTTATACCATGCGTGGGTTTTTTCCTTTTTTTTTCTTTTTTTTTTTCTTTTAATAAAGCAGATACTGCTCACACTCCCAAGTTTGAGCTGCAGTGGATCTTAGGCTGCTATTAGAAAGGTATATTTGTGCATTTATATTTATGCAATGCTGGAATAAGTTGCTGGATTCATAGCCATAAAAAAATGAAAATTAATTGTCTATTAGCTGAAGGAAAAAAGAAGAGATGTGAAAAGTTTATATATCCTTATTAACTCTTAATAGCTAAACGGACAGAGAGATAACTTAACATTGAGTTAGTGTAGATTCATCCTAGCTGAGTGAGGTTGCCTGAGGTGAGAGTAGAACTGCCTTAGTCTCCATACATAACTGAAGAAAAGATATAGGCTCCTATTGGGAATGATTTGGATCTTAAATAACCTTAATTGGCTTCTGGAGAAGGCCGGGTCATTCTTTCAATTTTTTGCATAGACAACTAGCAGTGACTGTATACTTGCATATATGACTCAGTGGCCAGTGAGCGAAATATAAGCTCTTACTCCTACTGTAACTAACTTTGCCAGGATTATAGCCTGGTCTGGCAGGAGCTTTTAAATAATTTCTTCTCCAGTGATCTCCATCCCTTTTTTCTGCTCCTTGTTCCACTTCTGCTTGACCAACCTAGAGTCAGAGTTGTAATATAATTCAGGTTGAGAGGGACCTCAGGAGGGCTTTGGTCCAACCCCTTGCTCAAAGCAGGGTCAACTGTAAGGTCAAACATGTTGCCCAGGACTTTATCCATTCAGGTCTTGAAACCCTCTGAGGATGCAGACTGCACAGCCTCTCTGGGCAGCCTCTTCTGCTGCTTGGGTGAAGTTAGAACTGTCCCTGGTTTAGTTTATTACCATTGTCTCTCTTTTTTTTTTTCTTTTCTTTTTTTTTTTCAATTGCCATGAACTCCATAAATATCTTGCCTCCCTCATTTGTTAATCTCCTTTTAGGCATTGGAAGCGTGCTGCTAGGCTACCCCAAAACCTTCTCTTTTTCAGTCTGAGCAAGCCCAGCTCCCCCAGCCTCTCCTTACAGGGCGCATTCTCCAGCCCCAACCATCTTGGTGACCCTCCACTGGACTCACTCAAGTTTGTTGATGTCTTTCTTGTATTGGAGTGGACATATTATTCCCAACTGGACATAGTAGTCCAGATGTGGTCTAAAGATTTCTGGGTAAAGGGGAATAATATGAGCTCCTTGTGCTCTTGAAAAATAGGACAATTCAGAATCCAGAAAGAACATGAAACAAATCTGGAGCCTATTTTGCTTCTGCTAAATCTGAAGAGAATGCGCTCTCATCTGCGTCAGAGCTCCCTGGCAAGCCCTGTCACCCTTGTCTAAGAAATCCTTTCTTTAAAAAATGTCAGCACATTTATTCCTTTGTTTTTCTCTCATTCCACGAAGATACATAATACCTGCAAAAATAAAGTTTTTTGAATTGGTAATAAGTTGCAGTGTGAAGAACAAAGAAAAGCTTAATAAAATTAAAAGGTAGACGAAGTGAACCAAGATGAAAAGAACCTCAGCAACTGACTCACTACAGAAAGTGTTGACTCAAAATTTTTGATCCGAGGGATAATAGAATTTAGTGGCTTGAAATAAATGAATAACAACAATATATGGACTTACATTAATTAGGATAAAGTTCAGATGGGGATTTGCAGACATCTCAAACTCAAGGAGCGAAACAACTATGTTTCTTCTGTTAGGGAGATTTCTTGTAGGCTTGTGATTGGGAGAAGGCTTGATAACAGGGTGGTGGCATTTTATAGCAGGCCAGAGAGCTCACTGCCGGAAAGGGTGTGTTGGATTTTCTTAGATAATGGCTCTGCTGGAGGGGCAGGAACCAGTTTGCTAAACACAGAGATCACAAGGATTATTGGGTATCATATAAACCCTGGTATGGTCATGTGTTCTCAGTTAAGTATTGTCCAGATCCCCTTTCTTGCTCCTTTCACATGCGTGCTGGCTTTGGGTTAGCTTAAAAATGTCCCACTCCACCTCCTGTATCTCCTGTACCAATGAATGCGTCCAGGGGAGCAAAAGGGTGAAATAGGGAATTTTCTGGGATGCTGATGAAGTATGGCTAAATTAATAAGCCTGAGTTTCCTTCTCGTATCCAAAATAATAATGGGTGAAGCATAAGTGATTCCCTCTTTCTGTGTTTGTTAGCAAGAACACAGGTATCAGGACTTGCATTTCTTTCTGCATGTTGACACTGGTCAGATGCCGCAGTGATGTTTTAAAGAGGCAGGACAAGACAGATCTATGCAGCAACATTTATGCTCGCCATTGCTGAAAGCTAAATTACAGGCAATAGGAACAAATGAGCTCTTTTTAGAGGATGAATGTGAATCTGTATATGTTGTGGTGGTGTAACATGTATTCCATAGTGCAAATATTCATCCTTACTTATTCTGCATACTTTCTGGATTCATGCTGAATTCATATTTTAGATCGAAGATCCCTCATTTTTTAGGCAGATCATGTTGTTTCTGTCTTTCTTCTCTTTGTTTTTTTCTTCCTCCCCTTTCCCACCTTCCCCTTACTCCCTAGGTGTCCAATATGGCCTTTTTATTGATCTTTTTCCTTTGCTCATCCCTGATGTTGTCCTGCAGCAGTGTTGTCCGCTCTGGAACCAGCTCCTGTAACTGATGGCTTTGTCATATAACTCAGAAACCCTTGTGCTCCTTTCCAGGGCTCATCTTTTAAAATTAGGATGCTTCAGTGCTTGTGGACTGATATTAGCAGGTTATGCTAGGAAATTTTTAATGTTACAGCAGAAATTGCTGTACAGCTATTTTAGGGATATGTACTGGAGTTGTTACAAGGTTGGTAAAGAAATATGGCAAAGAGATAGTAGGACTTAAATGCTGCAACAGGAGCATGACTCTAACTAATGCTGTTCTCTTCCTACAACATTGTGTTCTTGTCAGTCAAATAATGACAATACTGAGTAAGAGACTTCAGGGACTGATACTGGGCAGCGATTCACTGAAAATACAAGAGCACATATAAACCTGACTGTTACATATTAAGGTTTTGTTCATTAGAGTGAATTGAATTCATCCTGTGTGTGTCCAGTTCTGGACTCCTCACTGCGAGAGAGACATGCACATACTGAAGAGAGTCCAACAGAGGGCCACGAAGATGATTAAGGGTCTGGAGTATCTATCCTATGAGAAAAAGATGCTGTTCAGTCTGGAGAAGAGAAGGCTCAGGTGGAAGCTCATCTATGTGTATAAATACCTGGTGGGAGGGTGTAAAGAAGACAGAGCTAGGCTCTTTTCAGTGGTGCCCAGTGACAGGTCACAGATTGCCCAGAGAGCCTGTGGAGTCTCCCTCCTTGGCGATATTCAAAAGCAATCTGGACATGGTCCTGGGCAACTGGCTCTAGGTGTCCTTGCTTGAGCATGGAGGTTGGATCAGATGACCTCCAGAGGTCCCTTCCAACCTCAACCGTTCTGTGATTCTGTGATCCTTTGTTATTTTCTCAGTAATGAGAAACTTTTAAGGATATCTCTATCCTTTACTGTAGTTCTGATAAAGCTAGTGAGGAAGATATCATACAATTGGAATCAACTACTTTAACATCATGTAATCTGAAACTGTTCTGAAGAGGAAAAGCAGGCTGCACCATCAGAGTAAAAACGATAGCTGTTTTCAGCTTCAAAACAAGTGAGCGAACATTGCAGTAGCTATCTGCTAATGCTGATGTAAGAAGTGGAACAGCAGCTAGAAATGGGACATCTAATAGCCATTTGTTAAGGAAAGTAAAGGGTTTTTTTTTGGTTGCATCATTATATTACACAGAAAAAGGCAGCACTTTCATGATGGCAGGACCTTGACTGAGAATCAAGTGGTTATCTGCAGGAGATAAGGTGAATCTGAAGAAGAAAAGTAAACTACTGAAAAGAAGTTATTTAATTTTTTAAATTTATCTTTCTTTTATTCCTCAAACAGTGGAAGCTCTACATTTGGGAACACTGATGGCAGCACATGGCTATTTCTTTCCAATCTCAGACCATGTTCTAACACTAAAGGATGATGGCACCTTTTATCGATTCCAGGTAAGTGTTTTCAATATGTTCTTGACTTGTACAAATGGAGGCTCATATTGAAGGCCTTGCACAAAGGTTCATAGCAAATTTTAACCATACTTTGTCTCTTATGTAACCTAGTAAATGGTGACAATTCCCCTTAAAGTAAAAAATGGTAGAAGGTTTTTATTTAGAAATTAAGTCAGCAAAGTATTAAGATGATAGTGACCATTTTGATCCCTCGAAAAAGTATGATAATGCTAAGTGTGGAAGTATCTCTCATGAAATACATTAGTATTTTGGAAATGTAGTAAAGGAAATGAAATTATCTTCTTGACTCTTATTCCTAACATAGTCTTAATTTGGAGAGGGAGAAGTCTTTTACTTATTAAGCCTATAGCTGAAATCTGATAAAAAATGGTGGTATATATTCACATATTCTTTCTTATGTGAGGATCTCCTTATTGGTAACAGAGTAGTATTGAAGTAGCGTGTATTCTTCAAACAAGCGCAGACACATTTCTACATTGATCTGTCAGTCTCATTGCGTACAACAAACATGCAGATGCTTCAGAACAAGATGGAATGATGTATATGTATGTATATGCATACCTATACCTACAGGTATATTATCCAGATACCTACATAGTTGTGTTTTATTATATTAGATTTCAAACTAAGGGCTTGGGGAGCTGGAGTGTTGTTTTTCTAATAATTAGTAATAGGCTAGAAGTCTGCAGAGCAATACCACCTATGACTTGAAACAAATATGGAGGCACAGTATCTGATTATGTATTCTAGAGAAGGAATCAACTTTGCTTGCCATGTGCCACCTTTGACAATGGTGGTTGTGTTCTGTATTGCTCTTCCTATTAGGTGGTCTTCTTGGTAGGTATCACCAACAGCTGCTCCAAGATCTTCCCTAGGTATTTGTTGCTTTGAAATTATATGATGATGATCACTATGAAACTGATGATATGAATACTATAGTTTGGCAATCCTGCTCCCTTAGTTCTAACTGTGTTAAATACTTACACAAAAATAATATCTGGCAGAACAAAATGTATTGTCTTCAAGATATTTAAGTCTAAGCTTTGTCTTAAATGCTGTTTAAATAAGAAGCCATCAAGAATAAAATAAAATTGAGATTGTGGTCTTTAAAATGCAGAAGAAAACTGTAATACATTGGAGACCAATCATGGTCTCAAACATTGTACTAGATTAATTTCTGTGCAATACTTTCATCAATATTTTGGCTTGAGTTTGATAGAGCCACATAAGGGAAGGGAAGAGAAATAATATTCATAATATTTTTTCATAATATTTATTCATAATATTCATAATATTTGGTCTAAAACAAAATCTTAGAGTAAACATAATTAAATATGTACAGCACAGTCTGGCAAGAAAGAGAATTATTATTGCATGCATGCATACAATATTATCATATTTTCATATGTAGATCCTGTGGGTCATACAGTGCTTCAAGGTAATACAAAGAGCAGTCACCCCAAGTCTCCTCCCCCAGATCCACAGTTACCTTTGATCCTGGAGAGAGAATTTGAAGGAAAAGGTTTCTTTCTCATGGTGCTTCATCCTCCTCAGTGTTCAGTATAAAGAAGAGAGGGATGGCACATGGGTGCAGGGACTTACTGCTGAGGGAAAGGCACTGATGTGGTTATGAGATAAGTGAAAAGTGGAAAGAAATCACGGAGTGGTTGAGGCTCCTCTTCTTGGATTGTCTCTGCATAAGCAGCAGCCAGAAGGACAAAATATCTGAGGACTTCATTTTGCAGAGAATAGGACTTATTTATAGGAGTGCTGGTCATTGAATTCTGCACAGCTGCTGGCCTGCTTCTATCTCAAACATGGGAAATGAGCACCTCTGCTAGCATGATAATTTGACTGAAGGAAAGTATAGATTAGAATTAGCTGCACTGGGAACAATTGAGAGTACTGCAGCTACACTGCCGTGTGCTTTCCTCAGAGAGGTCTACAGCCTACAGGTTTGGACATGAAGCTTCAGTGAGGGTTAGACTGTAAAATTATATCAGTGGATTTACATAAGTTAAGGATTTGGCACCTATTTGACATATGCATATGAAATAAGACAATTTCCTCAAGTGTTGCTCAGAATATATCTGCAGTATTTTGGTTGCTTGCTGCTCTGTGGTACCTTTTGCATTGCTATTCCTATGCTAACAATGTTAAAATAATGCAATTTTAGCTGCTAATGTATAGCATGAGAAAAAATTCATAGTGGTGTCATACTGGTAACTGGAGTTGTAAGAGCAAAAGTTATGTCATTACAATTCCATATTCCCCACCAAAATAAGGCTAATATAAAATCTGTTACTGAAGCTGTTAAATTGGAAGATGAAGACAACGTACTCAATGGGGAGGAAAGTTTGACTGCAAATGTGTGAATTTTGCAGTAGAATAGTTGTTCAGGTGTTTTGGAACTAGGACCCCCTGAGTATTGGACAGGATTCACAAATTTCTGGGTATTTTAATAGAAAGAGAAAACCGTGCACCTGCCAGCACTGAAAAGTTCAGAAGCCATCCCTGCAGAGAAGTCTCTGTCTGCAATACAAAGACCTGACCTACAAAAAAGTTTAGCTACAATAATGTTCTCTATGCACTTCATTTTTTGTTTTCCAAAGGGTCACGCATTCCCTCCTGACAGTAAAATTACTTCCAGTTTGTTTTAAACAACCTTCTATTGTATAGAAATAGCTAAAAACAGTGGAGATTGTGCTTCATTTGTGCAAATGCCCTTTTACAGGCAAAATTATACTTTTCCAGTTATTACTCTTGGCATCAGGAGGGCTGTAAAATCGTAGCTATATCTGGTTTTTTAAATAATGTGGCCTTAGGAAAAAAAAAAAAAATTCTGGATCATTTCTTGACCTACTCAGGTGTAATTAGGTTAGTTTCTGTGATAACAATTTAATTCGAAGGGGATGGATCTAAATATTAATTGCCTTACTCAAAGAGGAATTTTCCTATTAGTCTCAACAAGACAAAGGAAAAAATTCAGGGATAGTGATACTTTGTGAACCATCCTGAACAGCTGCATTGCCTTTTCCTGGTAATTTAAGCCTGGGACCAAAGAAGGAGCTGAATACCTGCTATCTGCCCTCCTCTACCTGAGACCAAATAGATATGAGGGACCCAAATAAGAAAAGCAAGGTGGACCGTAGAAAGCAGATCTTCCTGCGGCCAGGGATTACTCACTGAGACCTTTCATCTGTGTCCACATAAGCGATAATATGTCTGTCCTGGTGAGCAACACATGACTCGCCCTCTCAGCTGGTAAACTTCTATAATAGTCTTCCAGGGAAAGATATGTTGATTTCTTCTACAAGTTGCACATGCATACTAAGTGTCTCAATGTTCATAGTGAAAAATAATATTTCATAATAGCTTTTGTCTTTGAACAAACTCCTAGGATACTTGAGGCTAGTGATAAACACACTCTCATTTTTTTATGAGATTAATTTGTGATTCAACATAAATTAATTTTCAGAGATGAAGTTTAGGTTCTGCTGTTGTTTTGTAACTTTTAAAATGGAAGGCATAAATAGCTGAGAAGTGTGAAAATGAGAACAGTTTCTTATGAAAGCATGAGTCTGGTGAAGATAGCAGCAAAACTCATGGATCTTGGCAAGATGAAGATTTCACCTGTGATGTCTTCTCCTGTTCTACCACTGGGAACACTTTCTTGACAAATGCATTTAACTTCTCTGGCCTTGTTTTTCCGTGCCTAAATTGCGGATAAAAATATATAGCAATCACTGTAAGGATCTTGGAATATCTTTGCTGCAAAACAGTGTAAAGCGTGAAATGTTGTGGATCCTTGCGTCTCAGGTGGAATTATGTTGCTTCCCACATCTCTTTGAGACAGCCCTGCTCAGCTAGCTACCTCTTGGCTCAGTCCTGGGCCAGCCTCTGGCCATTCTGAATACTGAGACTGTGGCTGAATATCACAGCTCTTCAGCCGCTCTCCACAGCCTCACTGGATCATCTACTGTGCCTTGAGGGAAGGATTTTATTGGAAGCCAGATTTTAGAAATAAAAAAAAAGCAGGTTATCTTATCCAGCATTTGGCAGATTTTCTTTGGCAATTGCAGGTACAAGGACTAATTCATTGTCTCTTCAGCTCAGGCTCGGCATATACAGGTTCTGCTTAGGTTTCAAAGAGAGAAAAATGATTTCAAATCCATGTGTCTTTCTGACTGCCCTATCAGTGCCCTTTTTTCTTTTTTAACTCCCTACTCAGACACACTTTCTCCCCCACTGCTTTCCATGCTCATCCCCTTTCCAGGTTAGGAAAGAGGAGTCACAGAGCCAAAATCTTTATTGTTTCCAACTTCCTCAACCTCTTCTTTAATAATTCTGAGCTAACCGTGGAGCACTACTTGCTGGCATCCTTCCACTAATGGCTTGACAGTGCTAGACCAGTGATCTTACCCTTTTCCTTTACCAGGAGATCATTTGAGTCAACTGCAGTGAATGTAAAACTGAATGCCTGTGAATTCTGCCATCCATCATGCAAGGCATTTGAGATTGTGTACAGCTATTTTTTAGCAAAGTCTTGATTTGTGCTGTTTATAAAGACTCCCTGGTGCCTGTGAGAAGAATAGCAGTAATATGCAAAGGAAGGTTTATGAGTGATTTGAATATTCCTCCCCCATCCCCGTAATTAGATTTTAAAAGATTTCATGGTGTGGAGCAGCTTCAGAAACAACAATTCTTTTCTTATTACTATCAACAAGGGGTAGCTGAAAGATGTTTAATGATTTCCCTCCTCAGTAATACAGTTTAATGCATAGAATTAATCATGTTTTATAAAAGCTGATAGGCAACGCTGATTTTTACAAGTGGCTGTTTCATTATCTCAGATATTATTATTGATTAATTTTATGGTAGGGCCAAAGCAGATCTATTTGTTTTATCACAGGATTGCTCATGATGCATAGCAGCCACTGTTGCCCATTTCTTTAGCGCGGAATATGTGCTATATTACA